TGCACCCGAGTTCAGAAAACAGCATTCACATAATCCTAACTAACCGAACTCTGACGTCAAACGAACCCGGGTGCGCACCAAAAGTGCTAGTGTGAAAGCCTCCTAATACCAATATAGTGGCAATATACTGTTCATCCCTAGATAATCGTTACAGTAAATATCAAGTTCATATTCTGTAGAATAAGCATTTACTTCATTTCAGCAATTGTTCTATAAATCTCATTTGCTGTCTTTATTTTGTATTATATTTATCAGCATTATATTAATCACAAATATCAGCATTGACATTTGAAAAACCCTTATCAGTTGGGTATCCAAACTCTATCATCCTTAACTACAGATGTAACACTTGCTCTCTGGACCGACCCACATTCTGTACTACTCAAAGACCTCTCCCAAAATTAGCACAGAACATCTGGTGCTAGACTCTCCAGTACAGACCCTGGAAGAGACACCCAGAGGAGGCAACACACCCAGCCAGCAGGCCTTAGCACCTGGGTAAGTAGCTCAGCATGGATCCCTGATTCTTAGGATTCAAATCGGGTTTATCAGGCGTGCAAAGCAAGGACAGAAACATACTGGTAATGCACCTTCCTGGCTGGTGAAGAACAAAGGTAAGCTGATTAAGACAAAACATATGTGAGGAGTGCACAAAGTTAACTAGTGTCCACGTGAAGGTGGAAAGCAATAATGAGACACACTCAGGGTGGTCAGACTGATAAAGATGAAACACTGACCTAAGATCTGTTCGATGCAGGAATCTGATCGTGGAGACATGAACTATAGATATGCATAGGTGTCCCATTTACAGTCTGGCCTGGTGACATTACTTGAACAATATCCAGGAGGTTGTCAAACCTGCTCAAAAAACCCAGGTGTACAAGTAACACGAGATTAACAGGACAGAGTTTCGGTTCAAAGGCAATCCTAGCACAAAAATATGTACAATTAAGAATATCCTTTAGTATGAGGTCGCCTGAGAAATATCAGATTTAAATGCAAAACAAGAGTCTAAAGACGGACTAGTGAATAACCTGACAATTCACAGACTGCATACAGCGCACAAACATGCCAGTCGCTGACTGAAAATGGCTTAATCCACCTAAAAACAAAGTCAAGAACAAGGAAGAACTAATCAAATCGATTTGTCAAGGTTTGCTAGGTTAGTTGCATTAAATCTTTGAAATGTACTCAGTTTTAAGGGACGTAGTATGAATTAAATGAGATATCCATGAACATTACATTCTGCCTAATAATCTGAATTTCTGTATATCCAAAAGCAGTAAAATACTAGCCTAATTGTTCTCCAGATGAAGAGAAACCAGTCTTCACACATGCCCCTTATTTCTTGGACATTTTAAGTCAACACTGTTGTGAAATTAACTGAATTGGTAACAGGGTTATTATAGTTAATTAAAACTATTTTCATTACTTGAAATAAAATAAACTTTAAATAAAATAAAATATAAAAAAGCTAAAACTGAAACAAAAATGAATAAAAAAAACAATGCAAACATACAAAAAACAATAATAAAAATGACAAAAACACAACAAAATAAAAAAAACCTTAACTGAAATAAAAGAAAAAAAGAAAAAATGTAATGTAAACTGAAATTGAAATAAAAAGAAAACAAATGTAATGTAAAAAAAATATATACCATAAATGTTTAAGCATAAGGTATCATGAGCTTACATCTAACAATTGTTCATGAACTATTGTTTATTGCTAATTTGTGTTCAATCACAATATGTTAACTGTTAATCTCTGTTAACAGTTAAACTGTTAATTTAAGAGTATTTAAAGGGGTCCTATTATGCTTTTTCACTTTTTTAATT